AAGTGGCGCTGTGGCTCAAGTGGTAGAGAGCTAGCCTTGAGCTGAAGAGCTGAGGGACAGCTTCCAGGCCCAGAGTTCAGGCCCCACAACCGGACCCCCCCCTCCCAAAAAAAAAAAAAGAGACCGAGAGGAAGACAGTCTTTGTGTATCACTGGACGTAACCAGTGCAATGTCACCCCATGTATTTTGCAAGAAAATGACTGTGAGCTGTTCGGATGGCCCCCCAGAGAGGGCTCAAGGTGGTGGTCCTCACTGCTCACCTGGTACCTACTGGAACACAGACAGTGGGCTAAAAGAAAGTTGGCATCCACCTCCCAGTGCCTGGTGTGGGGTGAGCGGGGGTGTGAGCGGTGTGGAGCCAAGCCTGTGGCCTTGGGTGTTCAGTCACACAGCAGCTGTGACAGACACCAAGACATTTCCTTCCTCCACACAGTCCACTCTTGTGCACTGCAGCTTTCTTTGTAGCTTACAGCCACGGTTGTGCTAATACAGTATCTGGTTCAGCGGCCAGTGACTTTCACACTGCAGATTTCCCTTTTGCCCTCCATGATGGCACGTGAACACGCTAGAAGGCTCACGGGCAGGGATTATTCTGGCAGAGTCTGGAGAAGCCCCTGAGTGTGTGAGGCCGTCGCAGCCGTCCCCAGATGCCCCACCGTGGTTACCTTGACCATGTCTTTGTACTTCTCTTTAAGTTCCTGGTAGGTCCTGCTGTAGCTCATGATGGAAATCAGAGAGAGTGTGCTCTTGAATTCTCTCCTCTTGTTCTCCACAGCCCACCGGGCCAGCTTGCCCAGCAGCTCCTCTACAAGCCAGGTGGGTTTAGGGTGAATAACTCCATCTGAATGCCATCTCTCTGGACAGAAAATTAAAATAGACATGAACCTTTGAAAACAAGAGAAACAGGAGTTAAGATGTGCTGGTTTTAAAAAAAATGGTTTTTGGGTGCAAGTTGACCTGGGGCTTGAACTGAGGACCTGGGTGCTGCTAAGCCTTTTTTGCTCTAGGCTAGTGCTCTATTACTTGAGCCACAGCTCCACTTCCAGATTTTTTGGTGGTTAATTGAAGATAACAGTCTCACAGACTTTCCTACCCAGGCTGACTTCAAACCACAATCCCCAGATCTCTGCCTCCTGAGTAGCTAGGATTTATAGGTGTGAATCACTGGTGCCCGGCTGTTTTTAATTTTTATTTATCAATTGTGTTTGAGTAGCAAAAGAAGAAAACAGGAAGAAAGACATCAATAACTACAAAATGTTTTACAATCTGAGATGGTTACAGAACTGTCCCTTCTTGTGTGCAAACCTGCACTTCTACCCAACCAACAGAGTGCAGAGCTGACCCCACAGCTCCACCCCCTGCTCTACGTGCCGGGTGTGCCCATCTACCACGGGCTTCCACACATCTTCCCTGTGCCACAGACAGAGGGCACACGTCTGTCTCTGTGGACTGCTCTGCAGGGGAACCACCTATGTGGCTCTTACCATTCTCCTTCCGTGCGACTGAGCTCAATTTGATACACATTGCTCATTGTCACTCTTAGGTTCCCCTCACTGTCTTCTTCCAAAGGTAAAAATGTTGCAGTTCCTCTAGAGACATCTGGGAAAAAAATGATAAGGGAGACAGGTCACCACTGCTTACTCAGGCCTATTGACAGCAGAATTAGCCACAGCCATGGGTGCTTTCCATTCCTGGAATCCTCATGTTGCCACCACAGGCCTGCTCCCAGAAACTGCAAGGCTCACATGCTGTGTCCAGGTGCCAGGGGCCTGCATGAACCGACAGCAAAGAGAATAGAGCCTCTGCACAAGTGGAATACCTGCTGCAGGCGACCTTCCGACAGGGGTGACTCAGAATGGTGCCCGGCCCTCGCAGTCTGGCCGTCCTACACTCACCTTCTCATGCAATGAGAGCGAGCAGCAGATCCTTGGCTACACTGAAGGCCCTGTATACATCTGTGTGTGATGTATTTACTTCTGATATAGGAAAATAGCAAAGTTGAAACTAAAACTGAATGTGCACCCTATTTCACAAACCAAGAAAACAGACTGAAACCACCTTCCACTGCAGGCAAAAGAACGTGATCTGTGGAGAGCAAGCAGAAGCAAAGGGCTCACTGGCTACAGAGGGAGAAAAAGGGCTGGGGAGGGCCAGGAAGTGGCAATCAGGGGCTGCTGTTGAGCAATCAAAGGGTGGGGGATGGAGGTGGGGTGCTAGGGAATCTGAATTCATCTAAATGCGTTTGAATGACATCTGAGCAGAGCTGCAGCAGGTGACAGAGTGAGCCTGGGCCCAGGTCTCTAAACAGGGCCAAGAAATATACAAAAACTACAGAAAAAACCTACACTTTCCAAAAATGCTAGCACTTATTAAACACTTACCAAGAACTATTGTAAACATTTTATAACATATAATTTCACTTATCTTTCAAGAATTCTCAAGAGATTTTAAGTCTCCCACTTACAAATGAAGAAACTGAGGCACAGGGAAACCATATACCCTGCTGGTGGCCATATAACTGGCAAAGCCAGATAAACCAGGCGGGTGTGCTCTACAGAGGACACACACACACACACACACACAC